CCCCCCCCCCCCCCACTCCATGCACCAAAAATCTGGGAGGGGGGTTTGGAATTCTCCAGCCAAACCAATACCTGGATGCAGCGCAGGTGGGGGATGCCCCCACCCAGCACCCCAAAACCCGAGCGGAGCCCCCAAAACGGAGCCAGAGGAGGACGGAACCCCCAAAAAAGGGGCAGAGACCCCCCAAAGTGGCGATGGGGGGCCCCGGTTCGGGCTGCCATGGCCCCCCCCGTGACCGACCCCGAGCCCCCCCCCGGCCCCTCCTCGCTCCGTGCCCGCTCCCGGCGCGCTCCGAGCGCCGCGGCCCCGCCGCGTCCCCGTCACCAGCGACAACGGCGGCGCGGCCAATGGGGGGCAGAGCTGGGGGGGCGGGGCCGAGCAAGGGGCACGCCCCCTTTTTACCGCTGGGGGAGCCACGCCCTTATTCAAATGAGGGGCGGGGGGGTGGTGGGTTTCGGGTGGGGTGCGCGTGCGCTCTGGGAAATACGGTAGCGCGGGGGGGGAAAAAGGAGTAGAGGGCACTGCGCGTGCGCTCTGGGAATTACGGTAACCACGGAGACGCTGCGCGCGCCCGTAATTACGGCCGTTTCGCTGCGCGCATGCGCACTTGGAAACACGCGCGTTTTGGGATGCGCTGCCGCAAATACGGTATTTGTCTTCCGATGGGAGCTCGGAAACACGGTATTTATGTCGGGATGCCCCCCCCCCCCCCCACTCCATGCACCAAAAATCTGGGAGGGGGGTTTGGAATTCTCCAGCCAAACCAATACCTGGATGCAGCGCAGGTGGGGGATGCCCCCACCCAGCACCCCAAAACCCGAGCGGAGCCCCCAAAACGGAGCCCGAGGAGGACGGAACCCCCAAAAAAGGGGCAGAGACCCCCCAAAGTGGCGATGGGGGGGGCAAAGACCCCCCAAGGGCACCTCAAAGCGGGGGGAGGGGGCACCCCCACAATCGCCACATGAAGAGGAGGGGGATGCAAGAAGGGGTCCCTAAAGGGGGGTTTGGGGGGGTTTGGACCGAACGGCGCAGCCCCCCCCC